TTTTATAAATAATTCTCGTATTGACATCAGATAACGCATATACACAACACAAAACACGTTTAAAAATATACTATAGTCTATACCCTTATCGGTTCGTTTTCGTGGTGAATATTAGAATAATAATATTTCAATATCTCATGTTTTTGTTTACTTGAAATGTTACAAAATGCATTGCATCTAATATTTCTATGATTAATACAATGAACTAATTTTTTTATTAAATAAGATAAATAATTAATAATTTCGCTATGAGGCCCCTTTAACAACGAGGCCCGCGGAAAATCCCGCCTTTACATATACAGGGGGTGGACAAAATAATATGAACACCATGCAATATAGTTACAAATTGTTGCAAGTTGGCTACACTGTATATTTTTTGGATAACATGTCGTAAAATTAATATATTATCACAATATAGTAGTTATTTATAACATATTAGTGTATTACACAGGTTATACTACGAACGTTAAAATAAATTTAAAATAAAATGCGTGACCTCTCGGACTTCCAAAAGAGCAAATAGTGCGTGCTCGATTAGCGGGATCGTCTGTAACGGAGACATCTAAACTGTTGAACGTGTCAAGAGGGACAGTGTCTACAGTAATAACAGCATACACGAAATACGGAAAAACATCATCGGCGAAAAGTAATAGTGGGCGAAATCCAAAGTTACTGACAGGGACCGACGAACATTAAAACGGATTGTGACAAGACAACATAAAACTACCGCGTCTAAAGTTACAGCAGAACTTAACGCTCATTTGGGTAATACTGCTTCGACAAAAACTGTACGACGGGAGTTTCACAAAGGTGGTATTTATGGGAGGGCTGCAATTGCAAAACCCTTTATTACAGAAAAGAACGCCAAGTTGCGAATGAAATGGTGCCGTGATTATAAAAACTGGACTTTTGATGATTGGAAGAATGTTATATGGTCCGATGAATCATCTTTTACATTGTTCCCTACAAATGGACGGGTTTATGTATGGAGAACTCCAAAAGAAGCGTATAATCCGGACTGCCGGCTTCCTACAGTTAAGCATGGGGTGGTTCTGTTATGATTTGGGCAGCCATATCGTGGTATTCAACTGGTCCTATCATTCAAATGAGTGGCCGGATTACTGCCAATGACCATCTCGATATCCTCAATGATGAAGTTTTTACTATGGCCAGCATATTACTGCCAAACACTGCCATATTCCAAGATGATAATGCGCCAATACACACAGCGAAAAAGGTTCAGTCTTGGTTTAATGAGCATCAGAATCTCAACATAATTGAACCAATATGGGGTGTTTTAGAGCAGAGAGTGAGAAGCATATTTCCACCTCCAACATCTCTGAAACAATTGGCGGATATTTTGATAGAAGAATGGGACAAAATTCCGCTGGAAACGATTCAGGTTCTCTATGAATCTATTCCGCGAAGGATTGAAGCGGTTTTAAAAGCAAATGGAGGCCCAACATCTTATTAATAAATAAATATTGAGTATATGACAGGTGTTCATATTATTTTGTCCACCCCCTGTATGTAGTTCCGCCTCTGATTTGGGTGCCCTAAATAATAATAATAAAAATATGACTAAAAAATGGCAGGAATTGTTTTTAATTTTAAATAAAATAAATTTTACATTCATTATAAATTATATTTATTTTCAAAATTAGTATTTAGGTATAAATTATTTTTTCTTAATAGCTTAAAAGTTGGAAAATTAAATCAGCTAATGTTCACATCATTATTTTATTTATTTTTCACAATATGAAAAATTCATCCCGATAGTGATGATGAAAGTATTTTTTATTTTTTTTTAATTATAAGTATTATCCATTTTTTATAATACTGTAATAATTAGTATACTTAATACGAAAACAATTTGTTTTTAACCAACCAAAGGTAACATTTGAACTTGTAAGATTCATAGTATGGGATTCTGTATAAAGAGGAGTGGAGGGAGCCCCCCAAAAGCTTTTCTTGGGAAACAAATTATGGAAAATGATACAAAATGATAAAATTGTTGGTCCCTCCAATAAACATTTTCTGGCTACGAGCCTGCACAGAAGTATTGCCTCCAACGTAGCTCTGCACATACCTAAAACTACAGGTCGAAACGAGGTAAATTAATCTCATTTCTATAGGTAAACCACAATTGTAGTTAATGTTGATCAATGAATTTTCTAGTTGATACAATTTAGAAATTATATTCAACATAGAAATTCAACACAATTATATCGACAAAAGACACGATTCTATTAGTGCGTTTTTTGGCCGATTTTTTAATATGAACAAAAAATTCTTTACACTAAAACTTTATACGAACAGAATACATGTCAAGTATCTAGAATCAGCTGATTACTATTATTGTTAAATTATAATTCAGTTAATTTTCCAATTTAGACCTACTTCAAATATTTAATTTTTCTAATTATTCACATTACACTAATTTTCAAAATTTACCGTTACATACTTATTTACACATATCACAGACTTTTATATATACTTATATAAATATAAAATACTTATATAAAAATAAAATACTTATATAAAAATAAATATATTTATTTTTGCCTCAGCTTGCTGGCGGATGACATAACATTTTTATTGATTTTTCTAATAGATTTGTTTATTGTATAACTTAAATTTAATTTTTTATCTGTATATTACTATTTTAAATTATTCTTGAATACATTTTATTGATTTTAAATATGTAAATATACTTTAATAGCTAAAACTGCTCTGATCGAAATATGTGTTATATTATAATCTATAATAAATAATTATTATAAACAATTGAATGCTTAAAATTATTTTTCTACTATTTCATTTGAAAATATCTTATTAATTTATTATTTGATTAATTCTCAATAAGTTTATTTATGTTAGACAAAAATTATTAGAACATTTTCTAGTGCTTCTAATGGACGTTAAATAAATCAATTATAATTATAAAAAAATAATAATTTCTAGAACTAACAATTTTTTTTATACAATTTGAAACTTCTTTGGGGTTATTTTTACAATCAAATTTTTTATATTTGTTCAATAGCTCTGATAAGTAATTTTTATTACTTATAAGAATGATTATTTGGATTTGTGAGCATACCATAAATTTATTTTCGCTTTCATTGTGCTCAAGAATTACCATAGACTACTAATATTTTCGACATTTATTCATTCCTTTACCATACGTTATAAGAGTGTCAACTTTAATCTCAAATAGAAACATATACAATTAGCTGATTTATTAGATAATGATCAATTTTTAAAAAATCATTGGTCTATAATAAATATTGGACCAATATAATATGGGAAAAGTAATGAGACTGAACAATGTCTAGTCTAGAGAAATTTTTTTACGCGGAAAATGTTATTTGAAATAGCCTATCATTTTTTTTTATAGTATAATCATAATTTGTGCAAATTTTTTAATTATTCCGTAAAGATTCAACTTGATAGGGAATGTTGAAGAGTTTTGCCATATTTTTAAAAATTATAAAGCTGATAAGTATATCTATAACTATTTTATTATTTATATTTATGTTATTATTAATTATATCAATGAAAAATAATACGAAAATTTAAAAAAATATAATTTATTCAGTGACTTAATCGTCATAACCGCTATAAATGTAAAAAAAAAAAATTATTAAGTGAAAAAATCGTAATAACTGCTACTCTTCTAATTCAGAATCTCTGAGCAATATTAAATTTTATAAAATATGAATTATATATTTTTTATAATTATACTTTTTTAGAAATAAAATATTGATCAATTTTATTAATGTTTTTATAAATATTTAAAGTAGAAAACTTAAATAAACATTACTTTTAAAACTTGTAATGTGAAGGTTAACTGAATAGTTGGATAATAGTAACTTTGCTTTAAGTATAAATTTACAAATTATAATTAAAAATTAAAGTATACATATTAGTTCACATTAGTATTAAGTAGTAACGGTTTAAATATTCTATTCAAAATTATCAGTTATTTTTCTCTCCTTATTTTTGGTTGAGTTTTATTAGTGACTAATATGTATATTTTAAGTAAACCTACACTATATTTTATGAAGATGACAGTAAATAGAGGTTCACATTTTGTTTCATTTTATAATAAATAGTAACATAATTTAAAAAATGAAATCATACCAAATACTTTATGTTTTATTCTAATATAGTACTGATTATATTTATGGTATACTATTGTAACATTTTTTTATGTACTAAATAAGTTATCAGATTATTAAGGTATAATAACAAGTAATTAAAACAGTAAGAGATATAAAAATAATTAATGTAAAATACATTACTCTCAAAAAATTACAGTAACAAAAACAAACAAATTTTTCATGTTCACTAAATTCTCTTAAGCACATTATAATATGTGATCACAATACACTGTAAATAGAATTGACTTAAACAATTTTATTGACAGTTCAAAGTCAAGAAAATGAAACCATTAAAATCACATTGAACTATGTTTCATAGTTTTTCCTTGAAATTTATGAATTAACAATAATAAAAATTCATTCTTTGGAATTACTTAAAACATTTCAATACATAAAAAACGAATAAAAATTATTGTATCACATTTAAATTGATTATAACATTTTTGTTATGCATAACACCTGGCATATTAAAATTATTATAATAAGGAATGAATTCAATGGCTTTGTTATTAATAATAGATAATGATACAACATGATAATAGACTTAATGCTGCCAGTTGTTAATTATAGTGAAAAAAACAAGACCGTAAAAAAGTTGCCTTGAATTTAACAACTAAATTTCAATTAAAACAAACCAAATTTTTTTTTTTAAATTTAACAGATAAGCATGAATAATAAATCAATATCTTTGTTTAACCAAATTTGAGTAAATGCAGCCAATTAAACAGTTTTATTTAAAAAAAATAGATTATCCCAAGTTACATTTCTGATTTAAATATATATATTAAGTGACTATAAGTATTTTAATTACTATTTGAAATGTACAAGTCATTGGAATACATGGATGACACAATGCTTTATTAAGAAAATTTAAGTTACTATTTCAAATAGATAACAACTCTTTTTTAATAGGAAAATAATTTACTATCATTTCTCTGAAGTTATATTTATATATTATATATTCTTGTTTTTCTTTCTGGCGACAAATTTCAAAAAATAGAATAAGGTATAGAAATGATCATTGCAATGCTAATTGCGTTTACGACATTCACGACTTAAATGTCCAAGTTCTCCACAATTGTAACAACTTTGTTTGTTACCTTCAGGGCAATCACGAGCCATGTGACCAGAACCATTACAATTACGGCACAGTGCAGAATAGTTACCATCACCATTTCTGAAATATTACAAAAGAAATATAAACATATTTAAAAAATTAAAAATAAATAATTAGCAATAAACTCTACTATTTTATTCTACCTGCTTTCTAAACAATCCCTGGAAAAATGACCTATTTTGTGACAATTAAAACAAGCAGAGTTGCTATTTCCACCATCTCTACCACCACGGTCTGAGCGTTCTGCACGTTCTTCAGTACAGTCACGAGCTAAATGACCAGTTCTACGACAATTGTAACAAGATGGTTCACTAGCTGCTTGACTACAATCACGAGCAATATGACCAACACCATCACACCTAAAAAAATTAATTAATTAGTAATATATTCATCAATACTTAAGGTCTAGAAAAGGGTAAGAATAAGAATGAATAAATTAAATAATTTTCAAATCATATTAAGCCTCAATTTTCTAGAAAAATTCTAAGAAATCTTTGTTTTGCTTGTCACAAAATTTTATTTAATACATTTTAAACAATTTATTATTACTTTTAAATTATTTTCTACATATAATGTTAATTTTGGTAAAAAAAAAAAAAAAACATAGCATAATTTAATAATAAAATAGAGACCAATAGTAATATTTATTAAATACTGAAAAAATTTCAACAGTACAGTAATGTAAAAATTTACTAAGAATATATGTTGAGAACATTCATGTAAAAATACAATTGTTAAGTCGATTCGAATATAAACTTTCTCGATTTTTAAAAGCAAATTAATAATTAAATACAATAATTATTAAATTATTTATTTAATAATACTAATTATAATTAGTATCCAACATATTTCTAACACTATTTATATGACATGATTTTCAGCCAGTGATAAAAATAAGTTTAAAAACTAAAATTGCTTATAAAAATTAAATATTTTTTAAAAATTAATCTCAAACTATTTTATTTTTTAGTTGTATAAAATATAATATAGATTATATTTTTAATAAAATATTTGTACAATCGTGTGTCACTTTTTAGGCTTAAATTTTTTGTAAAACTCAATTTAAAATATTAACTCTTAAATAATATATTTAGAACTTATCGAACTATAGTATTTAATTAATAAGAATTATACTATTTTGCAGATAACAAAAGTCCAATTACCAAATATATAGTAGAAAAAAAATTAAATTACCAATCCAAATACAATTGTTCATTATAACAAATTACATACTATTATTTTACAGAATAAATAAAAATAAAAACAGTTAATAATCGCTTTAATATGTTTTTAATATAACAAAAACTAATGAAAAATGTTTTTATATATGATTCATCAGTTTAAAATTTTAACATTCGTAAATCCCTTACTGTAATTAGAATTCATAAAGTATTAATTATAACAAATATGTTTATATTACCATAAAATTGGTGATATCTTAAGATTCCTTAAATATAAAGTAAATTATATCTATACTAGAAAAAGTGCCCAGTTATAAAAAAAATTGGGTTGCTAAAATTATTGAAATTTTGGTTACCCTTTGAATAATTTTATAAATTTATCAAAATTTAACAGTAATTTACATGAAGAAAAAATATATAATTTAGACTAGATTAGCAAATATAGAGGATTAATTTAACAACTAAAATAAGTTGATAAATACCTGTAACATCTATCTTTATCTTTGCAATCACGGGCCAAATGACCACTGCGATTACATTTGTAACAGTTAGAATCTCTATCGTTACGACCACCTCGACTGAATGTTGCACTGTTCACTGATCCAGATTCATTACAATCTCTAGCAAAATGTCCTGACTTGTTGCATCGATAACATAAAACTCCACCACTCATGACTAAAAGAATAATTGAAAAATATATAGAATTATATTTAGTTTTTAAAGAACAGGTTGTTCTAATATGCTAAAAATCTTAATAAAAACTTGCATTAGTGGAAAATAATGTTAAATATTAAAATAATTACATGTACACTTAAGTCTTATTAAAATAAAATTAGTCATAAACCAATTATTTTGGAGCATGTGGCAAAAAAAAAAGGTTTACCACTCGGCCATTTTTTAATGACATGTTCTATGACAATATGAACCAATTTAAATTAAAAAGTATAACAATAGTTTTTTATAGATAAATATGTTACAAATAGTCACCTGATTATGAAAAATAATACCAATTATAATGAAAAATAATTTTAAAATTCAATAAAGAATATGTTAAAAAACGTGTACAATACGCTAGCTAGTACCGGGTTGAAAGAAAGAAGCTTAGAACAAATTTAACAACGAACAAGTATCATGAAAAAGAGAAACGTGATTTTTACGGTAGTTCAGTGTGACCGGGTACCGGGATATACCAAAGATAATGTAATGTCTTACAGCTTAAAATAATAAAAGCGGGTAATTCATAAATTACTGAACGTACGATAAATATAATTGCATTCATTTTATTAGGACACAGTTGTAATTTAATAACCATTCAATTGATAATATTATTATTCGTTTTCCTGATAAAATGTTCGTTATCATTAACATCAAACTGTACCTATAATTTGCATTTTTTTTATTTTATTATTATTGGTCATTAATTTTGTAATTTATTTATAAAATTGAATACAATATCTCTAATTTGAGATGTTTGACAAACAACTTACCTACAATAATACGTTGATACTCTTGGAAGAAGGTTAATTTATTTTTTAATTGCTAACTTAATGATATTCAAGTAGAAGTCATTAAAAAAAAAACGGTAGCACGTGGGGTCGTGGCGCAGTGAGAGCGTGAAATAATTGGGACTATGTATTAATGTATAATTAAAATCACTATCATAAGAAAAGCTTCAAAGCAAATCTGTAGATAGTATTTAATTTTATGAAATTGGCGGATTAATCATTTTTAACCTACTCTTTTTTGTGAAAATTTATAAAAAAAAAAAATGACTCAACTTGCAAGTTTGAAATTGACATCATTAAATAGAAAAAAATGGTATTATTTAGTTTAATATATACTCAGAAAATTTTATAATTAATATTTACAGTAAATTTATCAAAAAAGCTCGATTTTTTGCATTTCTATCGTAATAGATCACTTAAATAGAAATCATAGTAATCATTTATAATTAACTTATGGTGTTTAAAAAGATTCTACAATGGAAATATTCAGGATTTAATTAATTTTAATGATTTACTTTAACTAAAAAAATGATTTATATAGGAACATGTTACAAACAAATTTGGAATGTTATAGACTGGTAGTAGCACACACAAATAGAGTTAAAAAATTAATAAATTACAAAGTAAAATTATTTACTTTTGTAGTTGAATACTTTTATCATATCAATTCTAATTCGACAATAAATACTTTAAAAATATTAGAAATCAATGATTTTAATTGTCTGTATGGATAAAGCTGGTTAGCTACTCTTTATTTAATTCAAAGATTTGTTTTCAATTTTTGAAGGTAATATTTTTAACCAAATACGAATTGTAATCCTTTGACATATCTTTGAAAATAGTAGGTTAAGTAAGAGTTGGAAAAATAAATCGCAGCCACAAAAAAAAAAACACATATTAATTAATATTAACATGAATAAGAAATTTCTTCTCATTAGGGGAGACTACAGTGATGGGATCCTTCATATTTATTGGTTATTGAATTTAAATGATATAAAAATCAAATAATTTAAAAAATTTTTTCTAACTAAAAAAATTGGCAATTTAAGCTAATATAATTTTAAAATTACTTTTATCAACTTTAAAAAAGGAAAACTATTTAAATTTAAAGTTTAAATTTATATTCTATATCAATTAGATTATACAATATTCATGAAAGTCAATTTAAGATATTTTAAAATACAAAACTCAAAATTTTAACACAAAAATAGCATATTTTTAGACATAATCACCAAGAAGAAAATCTTCTTTATAAAAGAAAAAGAAGCGAATTTTTTTTTTTTTTAATAGTAAAATATATAATATAAGCTTTAATTTAAGATTAAATAAAAGTGTCAATATTTCCGGAACATTATCAAAAATTAAATTAAAAAAAGCTTTATTTGTGTGCAAAAATTACTTTTTTGAATCTCCCCCGTGCGAGGTTTAGTCAGATTTTCAAAAAAATTATGTCAAATAAAAGAAAAATATCCAAGGTTTAAATATAAAAATAAATTTGTTCATTTTTCAAAAAGTTATGACAGTTGTAAGTATTAAAATATTTCATGTCAAACAGTGATTTTTACATAAATATTACATTTTTCGTTAAATTCGACAGCTATTTTCCCATGGACGAAAAGGTACGGGACAAATGTTTTTTTGAACTTGTATTATTTATTAAAAGCTTTAATTTGATATATATAAGTTCTACTTTTTATACGTAGGTTTCAAGTTTTAAACTCCTCCTTTATGAAGGAAAATGGTCCAATTAAAAAAAAATGCATGTCAAATGAAAGAAGTATGTATAATATATTTAAAAAAAAAAAATTTATGTTGATACATTATTCAAAAGAAGATAAATCGTCGGGACAAATTGACATGACATAAGCTTTAATTTGACTTTAATGTTTAAAGGACTCTGTATTTCTGGAACAATTTCGAAACTTAAGTTGAAAAAGTCACTTTTCATAAAAAAAGTTGCTATTTTAAATACCCCCTGTCAGCAGGTTAAGTGTTAGATTTAAATCAAATGAAAGAAAAATATGTAAGGTTTCAATATAAAAAAAAATAAAGTTGTTTTGTTAATTTTTGAAAAATTTATGATAGTTTTATGAAAAAAAATGACGAAATTTACCGACTTTAAAAATTGTAATTTTTTTGTAAATTTTCCCCATTTACGGGAAACGAGGGGAAAATGTTCAATTTTTGAGTGTAATATCTTCAACTAGATACGATTTGTGATCTTATGACGTATTGTTCACCAAAATCGGTCCTGTGAGAGCTGAGAAAAAGTGGCAACAGACATACACAAAAAAAAAAAAATAAAAAAAAATCACATCATAGGAAAATTAATACCTTCTCAGCTTCGCATCGAAGCTTAACAAATATTATTAATAAATTGTTCAATTTAAAATACATATAAATTAAACTTCCAAATAAGTATTTATTTTGAATGATTTTTAGTAGTATTTGCGCAAAGGCGCATTTAGAAATTGTCCCGTCCCTAATAACCTTGATATTTTGCTCATTAAAACATATATTACTGATACAGAAAAAGACAAAATAATTTATTAATTAACTGATAACACACACTTTCACCAACTATCAAGTACTAAAATGATATATTGTTCTATCGAAACAAAATCGCATTCAATTCAAAATTCTTTTAATAAGTAATTCGGTCACAAAGACTTATACATTTTTTTAATAAAATAAAGTTAAGTATATCAAATTTTATATCAAAATCATTATTTTGCTTTTCTAGTCATCATATTAGTTTTATATTATGGTATACATTCATATAATATAATATACATTCGTATACCATAATACATTACTCTAAAACGAATATTTACATCTGTACTTTCTCAAATTTAAACATTTTCGATCTACAGTCGATAAATTTAATTGCTATACTAGAAATTAAAGAACTATTAAACAAATTTCTGTATAATTAAATTATAATTTTTACTTTTACCTGAAGTAACATCTGATTTACTGTATCTAATTACCAAAATTATTATTATTTAAAATTAACATTGATTTAGCTTCAACAATTTTATTTTTTACTTTTTATTTTCGAAATCTAACTAAATTTTCAATTTTATAACCAAACTCTGACAGTTATGTCAAATTCGATTATTATCAAAGTATATCTAAATATAATTTTCCAAGTAAAAAAAATAACTGTAATTCTAAATATTAACATTTTAAAAAATGTATTAATAAAATAGATAGTTTTGTACAGTTTTTTATCTGTTAATTATAATTAATAAAAGAAGTTCTTAATATATGAAAAATAATTTATTACATAGAAATTAGTTATATCCATTCAATAGTGGATAATTTTAAGAAGAAACTATTTTGTTAATAAGAGCTATTCCATTCAGAAATTTGGTCCGCAACATTTCCGTTGAAAAAGTTTCACTGTATTTCCATACATGGGAATATATAATTTTAAAGTTTCATACATATTTCATAAAAAATGTTATATTTATAAATAAAAAATGTTACCCTCTCTGCACTCACAAATTAAGAAGAATTCAAAAACTGATATTAAATATGAAATTGGCGATCTTTGAAATAAATAGAGTAGAAAACTTCAAGGTTTTTTTGTTTTAAATTGAGAGATATTAGTTAATTGAAACAAATTAATTGATTTCAGAAACCTATGCACCTAGTAATGAAGTTACTAAGAACACGCACTATAATAACAGCTTTTTTTTTATTGCAATTATTAAATGTTTTATACTCCCTGATACTTTTCCCTATTATGTTACTGAAATAATGCTAAAAACACAAAACCATAAATTATGCAAAAATATGAAACATAAAATAGTGGGACGGTGTGGCCGAGTTGGTAACGCGGCACTGTTTGACGTGCATTGTCTCGGGTTCGAAACTCGGTCACGGTAATTGGAGTCGCCATCCCACTCTCCGGCGACGGACTAACCACCCGTCCCGGAGTATAAATGGTTAAGAAAACCTCCTCTTGGGGGGGAGATAGCTATGGCCCTTAATGGACCAATAAAAGCAATAAATAAAAAAATCAAATATATAATTTCGTATTGGTTTTATGAAACAAATTTATAATTTACATATTTATCCTTAAAACCTATAAAAAAAAAAAAAAACTATATACACAATTGTGTGATGCAAAATTTGAACTTTAATATTCCATACATAATCTGATTTAAAATTTATAATAATTAAGGAACCACATTACACATACATAAATTTAGAAGCACTTAAGTTTAATGAAAACATAGAAAAGTTTTTCAAGGAAAACTTGTTGCAATATAATAATATGGAAAACTGTTCAAGGTTCATCAACTACAAATGATGAACTGTACTATCATTGAATACTTTATTATGCGTGTAAAGGTACATAAATATGTATATATGATTTCAATAAGAAAAATTACGTGAATTTTTTTAATACATTCATAGAAAATAGGCAAAATATTCAGTGAAGGACATTAATAGAGATACCGCACCTGTTAACTGACGACGTTTGTATGCCTATTGTTTATCAAACATAAGTTAATATTTGTATACATCATTTATGATTTTATACACTAGTATATATTGTCTGCATAAGTATTAACTAGACAAATCGTTGTGTAGAAATTATAATTGCGTTTCGAATTTCTTTCTTGGAAGTTTTTAGGGAAACGCATTGGAAAATATAATTATATTCTTTTACACAATTGCATGATATCAATTAAAACTTTTGAATTTTAGGCGTATTATAAGTTTTAATAACCAAGCGATTGAAGAATAGTAATTATAAAATACAGCAATGAATTAAAGTAAGAATAAAATTATTTCTGTTAGAATTTTGATTATTTACTATAGACAAACATTAATACTACGAATAAATAATCGTTACCATCCTTTACTAATACCTGTTATTAAAAAGAACTACATACAACCAACCGATTTAAAATAAAACAATATTTATAAGTGTAATTTATTAGTTACTAGTTTTTGAAACAGATGATTTATAAACATTTAAACTATGTAAATAGACTTAATAACATAGTTAATCTATTCATTATTAAAAATTTATTTATAATTTTTACATCGATACATAATTCAAGAAGGTCCAGAAGGACCATTCTGCAATAATAATAAATTCTCATTCCACCAAAGGAAGCTTAAATCATGTCGCTAACATATTTTAGAATTCTTCAGTAGTTATTTGAAACTAGAAAAATGTATAGATATGCTACTCTATAAGGTATAGGTATAGTTATCAATTAATCACAGGATCAGAATAAGATCTATAAGAGCCCCGGGGAAGTACCTTGAGACGAGCCGTCATATGGAGAATACTGCTACCATAAAATAGCCATCACTACCAAAAACACATGAACAGAAGTTTTACATTTTTTATATTAATACATTATACTAATATTTTTTTTACAAGTTTAATGTCATTATAGTATTATATTATAACTAATATTAAGAACTTTTCACCTTCAATACACACTCTGCTCAAAGAAGATGCGCAGACAATATAAAAATTATTTCTTTAGTATTTTAACTATTTAAAATTAATTTTTAATATTTAAAGTTAATTCGTGTTGTTTTGCGTTTCAAAAAATGTACTTAGATAAATCTATATAAAAATAACCATAAAAACTGTGTCACTAATCTTAACAGGCCAGTAAAATTTGTAATTTAAGCTCATAAGCACTGAGGTGTATACAACTTAATGTATCCTCACACATTTCTAAGACGCAAAGTTACATACAATAGATTTCTGATTGTGATGTTTTTTCTATTTATGTAAATAAATTCACAATATATTCTAAAAATACCATCTACAAAACTTAAATTAACGTTTGAGAAGAGCATAACACCCTCCTATGAAATCATCCTTAAGTTAGTAAGAACAAAATTAAATATATCGATTTCAACCCTGTCTTTATGCACAAAGTGTACCTTTATCTATAGGTATTATTTGTATCACGTTTTAAATTTTAAGATTTAATGAAATAACAAAAGAAGTGTAATAATCCGTAATTTTAAGCTCTTAATGAATTTTTCTTTCCTTCGCTAAAATAAAAGTTAATGAATATGATAAATTTATGTTTAATTTAACATGTATATACAGAATAAGATCTAGGAGAGTTTGGGGATAATGAACTGTTAATATTAAAAATTACATTTTTGTAGAACACCCCTTCCTCTTAAAACAAATTTAGAATTCCGGACCTTTAAATACATATTAGACAATTAATTCTTCTTCTTTTTATCATAAGTACACAATGTTCAATTTTCAAATTACTCAGAATAGTTTAGAAATTAAGAGTTACCTAATGAAATACAAAAAATTATATCATTAAATTACACAACTAAATGTACTATAACGAAACTATACCTTGAATTAAAGTTAAGTTTAATTACTCCAGACTCATATAAAACAATTTTTTATTTGAATAGTATACACCACACTACTTATTAAATTAATTTACATGTACATATATAGATTTTCAATGGATGGAGTTCTATAAATTAAAACACTCAAAGCCTATCGACAAGGTTGCAACCAAACTAACAGGAATTAGGAATGTATATTACAATGTTATGGTTAAAAATTGTTGAACAATTTTAACAATCATCATTATTACAAACGATGAAAACACGTGTGCGTCATTGGATAAGAGATAAAACTACTAGGAATATGACACTTATAGAAAATGGACTAACTAAATTCACAGGCCGCTTTATCTTCTGATCCTATTGTGAAAAGAGTGGGGATTAAGCAGGTAGATTTCTATTATAATGTCATGATAGGTATAATGTCTGCTTATTCATCTGATGAAATATTAGATATTTTACACTACACAATAACTAATACCCTCTGTGTTTTAGAGTAGGTTATTGAGAAGTTATTTCGTATATATCTAATGTGCAATTTGTATGCACAAAAAGTAAACTTACTTTTTCGATATAATCATTATATTTCTCATTATATTGGTTTTAATAAAACTTTATATTAAATAGTACGTAGTCATGAATTTTTCTAATAAAGTGATATAAATAAAATTATCAATAAATATATTTTATACTTTTACTTGAGTGTTATTAAAACTTTCCCCAAGTTTTTTATAGTGATTAGTTTGAGTATTCAAGATTATTTAAAATGTTTTACACATTTTTATACTATGGGTTTTTTATGCAGCTAATTTTTCGTTACAAAAAAATTATATTTTATCAGAATTTTATGTCTTAAAGAAAATAATCAAGAACTGTTTTTGGAAACGATCGCTGTAATAACCTAAATTAATTATCGTTTATTATTATGTACAGTTACATTTTTTTACTCTCATTTTATAAAAGAAATAATTTAAAAACCATGTTCAAGCTGTTTAGTTATACAGTATAATTGTACTATATACATTATACTGAATGGTAGAAATTGATTTCACAAATTAACTATGAAGTCAAATATTCAGTTTACTTTAATTGCATTTAATAAATGTAATCGGGAATAAAACTAAGCAGATAAAATATGTTATTTACATTATCTCTTATTAGAATCTACATACTTATAAAAACTCATTTATAAGTTAAACCTTACTAATTTCACTTAAAATAATTAAGTAGACAAGTTTAACACAGTCACTCATTATATACCTCAATCAAAATGATATCAAATTATGGTGTATATAATTATTTTTTATATATTAAATTAATTTGACTTCATTAATAATGTAAAAGAAGAATAAACGAACATTTGTCAATTAAAATATATCTTTACTAGCATTGTCCGATTATCAGTCGGCTGAAAATTTTGATTTCGAAATCATAACCTGACTTTGACGTAAAAGAATCTTCTAGTATTATCGTGAAGATATGGTCGACGAATTCACTCTTCAATACTATTTTGAGTAACCCTGGAATTCCACAATGGGGCGACGGCAGATGTCGGTAATCGGTTGATAATCACCAACGACGAACGGTAGACATATGAATTATAATTATGCGCATCGCGCCATCTGCTAATCATTATAGACGACTAGACCGACAATTTTCCCCCAAATTTATATTATCACGTATAATCAATTAAATTGAAACGATTCTAATAATTCAGTATTTTTCATTAAATCTTCTACTATCATTCTAAAACTGATTAAATTGACAGTCGCTAGTAGTTGATTATACGAAATCGTTGACAGCCATTTTGCCGTGTTATAAAAACGGTTACACAGTCGTGTAGTGTAACACACACACACACATGTCATGTTGGTATGCGGCACCCGATTATTGGTAGAAGTGGTGGGAGGGTTCGGATCAATAACATCTAGACGACGTATACTACTTACTACCCCGACAACACCTCCGCTCCATCACTGTTAGGACGCCGACCGACCGGAGGAAACGTCGTGTCCCCGAGGCCACCGATTTCATAACGTTGTGTACAGCCGCCTTATAGTTGAACGGTGGGAGAGTAGTAGGGGTTTTATGTTATAGCTATAATATTGAATTGAAACGTCGGTGGGGGTGAACGCATATAGGCGGCGGTGGCAAAAAGGTCATACGGCGGCCAAAGTGATTCTCATTCCGTTGCATTGCATTGCACATAGTCACGACTCGTTCATCGTTCTTATCGCGTTTCGACCGCAGTGGAATAAAATAGAGAAACGAAATCGTATCGTTACAAAAACGTTTTCGTTGTTATTTATACAGCATTGTAGATTTTCGCTCTCTTATTCGAAAAGAATTTAACCAGTTTCCCGCCAGTCGTTAACGATCGCGCGCCGGGAATATATTACTTGACTTAAAAAACGAGCCATAATTTATATTGTTGTTTTATCAAATAACACCAAAAAACTAAATAAAATTGACGTATTATTATAGTTATAGTTTTTTATTTGGATTAACGACGATTTTGTTTTGATTGAAAAATCCTTTTTATTTATCTATATATTGACTTAAAATGGCTTTTATGATGCCTGTGATGAAAAAAGACTACAATATTTACAACTCAAATCGTACGAGACGCGTATCAGAGTGTGCCCACGACAAATCGTCATCCATGGGTTCTTGTGCGAGAAGGCATCACGTTGGAACCAGGTCGGCTGATGGTCCGTCATCACTGTCTACGTCGCCTGGTAGCGACTTTTTGGCTGGGTCGCCTGCCCATCGCTCTCTTGGTGTGTCCAGGCAGTCCAATAACGGCCACCATTCAACTGCATCAAGGAATTCTTCTAGGAATTCTCAGTCGAGCTTGCAAAGTCCTGCTAAATCATCATCATCATCATCATCATCTCCTCCAAAACTGTCGTCCTCGTCATCTCTAAATATTTTCCACTCTAAGCTTGTGGATAAACTTCGGCGGTCATTGACGTCCAAATCCAAAGAAAGTGAGTGTACTTGTAAATTGTTTAATGATTTAGTACCACTATTTTTTGGAGAAATTCGTGATCTTTTAAAAATAACAAGGTGAACGAACTTCGCGATTCATAAAAAGCTAATGTAATGAACCTCTCGAATTCTGCTGTATTTAGATATTTTTTCATATTTTTATTAGTAACATAATTATTTTATTTCCGTTAGAGTTTGTCACGAGACCTAATAATAATAAACCAATGATTAATTTTATATTTTAGAACAAGTTATTCTAAGTATCCATTTAAATTAGTTTTATATTATTATATATATATAGTAGCTTTTGTCTACTTTAAAATAAAACTTAATTATTTTTTGTATTTATCTTCTTTAATTCTTATATTTAAATTAAAAAAGTATAACTTCGTTTGTTTTTTTTGTTGCAGATGGTACGTCTTCAACATCTAGTAAAGATATTGCTCGAAGAAGATCCTGAGAATTAGCCAAAGGCGATGATCATCCAAGATCAGCACCAAATCTATCAAGGTCTACTAAAAATCGGCCAGCATCCAACATGACTACATCATGTCCGTCGGGTACCAATATTGTCCTATGACAGTTGCAATAACAGCAAGCGTAGTATGCACAATAATTTGGTAAGCACTTTGCTATGAATACTATTTTTTTAAATAAATGCATCTGATTTGGAAAGACTGTTTTGAAAATTCGATGTGTTTTTTAAAGACTAATAATAAAGTATTCTCGATTTGTATAATATAGACTACATTAAGTTAAATCATTAGCTTATTTAACAATTTTTTTAGTTTCAAATTAATTGTATATAATAAAATTGACAGCTTAAGACCTATATCAACATTAGGTTTTTAATTTATTTAAGCAATTTAAATAAACAAAAAAAAGGTTCACAAGTTAATTTTAAGTCAAAGCCTATCAATCAATAAGGAAATAAAATATTTAAAAAATTTATGAAATTAATTTTATTCAAATTATATTATTGTTAAAATTGTTTTGATGAATTAACAGTGATAAAACAAATGAGGGTTTTTTTTTCTAATTTTATGTCTTGTAGGTCAAACATTATCGTTTTAATATTTAAATCTATTTATTAACATTCTCTGGAATCTAGGCAAGAATAATTATTATAAAACAAAAGGTGTTTATACTATGTTCTCTTACCAACCCATCATTCTAGTGTTATTTCAGTATGATGATTGAAACAATATATATTTTTTAAAAATGATGAAATTTTAAAATACTCCAGCTATTTGTAAGGTGCACATTATAAGTCTGATTGACCAATAATAATTTTTTATTCATATACAATTAAAATAAATTATAATTTTTGAATTCCATTCATTGAACACAATTAAGTTAATTTATAAATAGCTTATATGTTCAAATGGACAAAAACGATAGACTGTTTTTCAAATATTTAGCTGTAAATTAGGATGTTATAAGTTTCAAGTAATTATGTTTTACATAAGGGTTGGTAAGTTAAGTTTGAAGCTCTGTTTTATTTAACATAAGTAAAATTTAATCAACCATATTATAATCTGTGATACATTTGTTACTATTTTTTTAAGATATTCAGCTTATATCAATATTTATTTAGGTGAATAGAATTTATAATTATTTTGTATTCTCTCTGGTTTACCTGTTTTTTTAATGATTTTCCAATAAAATCTATAGATATTTTTAGAAATTAATGTTCTACAATATTTTCATGTATAACTTAAAACTCAAATTTTTATTGGATGTCATAACATGTATGGTTATATCATAATTTTTAACTTTAAATAATTAAAATGTCTACGTAAGTAATCAAATTTATTAAACCAGCCATCTTTTTAAAATTAATTTTCATTCTAGAAATCTCATGACTAGATAAATAAAATTAATAAATAAATAAAGCATTAATAAAACTAATTGTTATGTATTTTTACTTGTTCAATAATATTTAATCAATAAATAAAATAATCTGAATTTCAATTAACTCTTAATAAAATTTTTATGGCATCTAATAATAAATGCATTTTACTTGTCTAGAAACCACTTAAATAAATAATGCATAACATGATGTGATAATTGATTGTCCTTATAAAACAATAGTCAAAATAATTGTTATGTTTAATTTGTATTTAGATTGAGAAAGAAACTAGTCTTTTAATTATTTTTAAGTATTTTTTTTATCATATCTGATACCAAACAAAATTTATCACCAGTTTTTTTCTTCATTAAAACAAAATCATGCAAATTAGACTGATTGATAGACTAAATACTATGTATATTTATGTTTTTTTACAGTATTAAAGTAATTAAAATGGTTATTAAAAATAAATTGTACTTAAATACATCTTTGTGCAGAATTATTGTTCTTTGTTAAAACAAATAAAAAAATTTAGTTATTGAACCTTGATATTTTCTTTTTGGCTACAAACCAAATACAAAAATTATATAAACAACTGTATTCTAAGCCTCTTTTTATTTATTATTTATAAGTGAAAATGTATTTGTAATAAATTGTAATAATTTTATTTAAATCATTAATAAAATATTTTTTATTGTTCATTTGTATTATTTATTTTAAACCTACACTAAATTATTATTTATATATGTATTTATTTTTAAAGGCAATTACAAAACAGTTATGATTATTGATAATTTCTCTCAGAAATACCTTATAGCAAAGTCTGCTCAAAGAATGCAATCAATGCATTTGTATTATTTTGGGTTCCACAACCAAAAATGAAATAAAAGATTCTTTTTTGCTGATAATAAACATAAGGCACTGCAAAAAAGTTTTTGGCTTATTACCTGCATATGTAGCGCTGACATTATAAATGGTCCAATATTAATCTCTTTAATACAATAAAACCTATGAGTATAGTATTCAATAAGTTGGGATAGATCTCATTCAATTTTAAATTATTTTTAAAAGTTAAAGATTTTTTTTGAAATAAATATTCCTAGTGATCGCGATTAGATTACTAAAAACACCTATTATAGTAATGCTAAAATGCACACTTATTTTATAAAAGTAAAATTCTTCTATAAAATTTAAGTTCTTCCAAACTTTAGGAAAACCTAATATTAATGGTTGTGAAATGGATATCTTAATTAATTTAATGCAAAGTTCACTGAATTATTTTTGAACAAAGTCAAACTAATGTGTTAAGTTTTCAAATTTTTTCTGATTAAAGGACATTTCTTTACAAGCACAATATTGCATTATAATTAGACCTAATGCGGAAAAAAATCATAAAATTGGTGGTAATTTATTACATTAATGCTCTTGCCAATTATATAATATAATAATAAAAAATACAATATTTCAATTATAAGAAACAGGAAAGCATTTAAAGTGTGTATGGACACATGAACTCAAAAATTACCATATTAAAATTTGACATCGACCAAAATGGATTTCGTATGTTATTTGGTTTATTAATGAGATTCAAATGTGTTCAGAATTGTATTTTTAATCAATAAATATTACAGTAGGCGTTTTACGCTACTATTATGTGAGTACATATAAGTACTAATAAGACTTAAGTAGTAACCGATCACGTCTCAAATATTAATGGATTTTGATTCCTTTAAATGTAACCCGGAACAAGAGCGTTCTGCTATACTATTTATGATAGTATTTTAATGACAAAAATACAAATATTATGTCCTTCGATTAGTATTCAATATTTTCCTAAATTAATCAATATTTTAAGCACAATTTTTGATGATCAGGTATAATAAAATTAAAAATATTTTTGTTGTTTTCAATAAGTATACGGTACACTATTTTATTATATTTTTCCAATTAAATAATTGTTTTTTTTTTTTTATAGTTAATATGATAAATGTTTATATAGAACTGAATAATTGAATAATAGAATCTTATCAAGTTTTTAAAACGTAATAGAACAATTTAATTCTCTTAGCAATTTTTATGTAAAAACTAGAAGTGTAGACAATAACCATAATACTGTAATAGAATATCCGTGTAATACTACCATTTACAAGGCTATTGAGGCTAAACTGCGCACCTTTCGGAAAAGTCAATGGCAAGGTCAACGGCGATTGTGGAAATTGAGAAAACTTCCTATCCACTGTGCCTTTAGTTTATATTATAATAGGGAAAATAGTGCAATAACTTATTGAGTATCTTTGATATTGCATGTATCTAAAAAATTACTAGACAGATATGACATTTTAATAGTTTAAACTGAAAATATTTGTTAATAATGTAATTTTCTTTTAAGAAATAAAATCTGCAAAGTTTACAATGTATAGTATACATACTGAAAATTGTTCTTTTTCCACTCAATAGTTATACAATACTTATTATTGATTATGTTGAAATCTATGTGAGTTATAAGATAAAAATTTGTAAATATTCACAGATGTTGAAAATATATATTAACAGCATAAATAAGTTTTTAATTTAGTAGTTTTATATAAATATGTGTGCATTTCGTATAAATGGATACGTAGTTCATTAAATATGACTAATGATCTAAATTTTGAGTTAAGTATAAATGCAATTATACATATTTTTTACAATGTAGTAAACAAAATTTAATCATTTATTATCATATTTGTAATATCTACTTTTTAACTAACCAATAAAGCCAATACGAATTGGACTGATGCGACTCGACACAGTCAGGTTAGTAGGTTGAGATATGAGTTGTTTAAAAAATAATGATATATGGTTAGATTATAAGCATTAACTACCCGTAAAGTATTTTTGGATTACATCATTTTCTAAGGCTGGAAATGTATTAACTACACATTTTTATAACTCTTTGAGTTAAAAGTTACTAGGAAAAAAATGTATTTAATTTTTACGATTGTAGTGATGAACTTAAAATTAAAATTAACATATCATTCAGATTAAAAACTATCTAGATATGGTAAATTTTCCCAAAATAATAACGAATTACCTAATTTAATTAAATTAACTTGGCGTTTTAATTTTAACTTTTTAATGCATTAATACCCAAACTTATATTTAAAGTTACTTTGTACAACCCGAAAGTATTGGCTCGAGCTACTAAAATGTGTAATGGCGCGTTGGATCAAATTTAAGGTCGTAAAACATAATTTTTATAAAATTCATGATTGAGGAAAGAGTAGAACTTTTATGTATAGAACATCGAAGAGATACTCACAATTCAAATTGATAATGATAAGTCATGAGTTATTGAGTAAAATTGTTAAACGCTAAGGTGTTTTGGATTTTTCATATCAGAAATTAATACATTTAAATTGGAGCTAAATTGCGTTTTGATATTATTGAATCTCATAACTCAGTGTTTTAATTTATTGCATATTAGATAAAAACGATAGTGATTTTTCAGTTATAATTGGCATTATTACCAATTAGGAATTACCTCATTTATCGAGTGGCGCCATACCGTAATTGTTTTTATTGTTGTTATTGCAGGATGAACGTTACATAAAATAACAGATCTAAAAATAGATACATGGGCACAGAATTATGTTATTTGCCTACTATCACTTGAACAACTGTATATTTTTAGGAGTGGATGCGCAGTTGCTGATTATTTGCTGTCTAGCGTTTGGTAAACAATTGCAATGAATAGGTATAACTTAATACGCATTTTTTTAATTGGTTTAAAAACCATAATCGAAAATGTTTGTAATAAATTACGTACATATATAATTATAAGTGTTATTTGTATAGTAAACTTTTGTTTTGTCCATTTATCAGCTGCCGAAACTTGGGTCATTAGATAAACACATTACTTCATTGGTTCGATAATGGCGCCATTAGAAAAAAAAATGTAAAAACTTGTATTACTACATTAGTTATTTGTGTTAATGAAGAGCATCGACGATAAAATTTTTATTAATAGGTTAAATCGAAACGTCAGCTTTAATTGAAGAATTATAAGTTGCACAATCTCTTCTGATAAGAGCGATATTCAATTGTAACGCAATGACGAATACTTTTTTATTTTGATCTTTTATCAGTTATATATTATGATCACTCATATAAATAGAGACTGACAGAAGATAAAAAATAATAGATGAAAAATAGCACATAATATTTGAGTATGTTTATATACTTTATAAAAAAGAAGGCCATTGTTTGTATGACATATTTTCAATCACTTTGATTTTTAAGCTAATCAAATACACAACACTTCCTACTATCTAGATAGTGCAGTGAAGTTAAGATTGTTCATATTTATATAAAATAATGATAACAACACATTTATAAAGCCTGGCCTTGAGTCTTAAAATTTTTAATTATCGTATTACACAGTAAATAAAATAATCGTATCAATTAAAACTGCTTTCAATAATGGCTACATTAAGTTATGATATTGCAGGAGTTTGATGGATAAGATTTATTTAAATCCTTTCAACTTTTTGCCGACTTTCATTCTATTTTTATTTATTACTTATTCACAATTCTTATTAGACATTGAATAAGTATAAAATTTAGTAAAATAAAAATAATTTTTAAAATTTCAATTTACATTAAACGCTGCAATAATTTAATTAATAATAAGTAGCATTAACTTGAACCTTTGTTTTTCCAATCTAAAAACATTTTTTTTTTAATATTCACTGACAATTCAGTTTTTTGTGTCCATCATGAACCATTATATTTATTTACGTGACTTTGTCAGTTTTAATTTTGTATTTTCTTCATTTTAAGATTATCGATATCAATAATCTTAAATGTCTTAATATAGTATTTGAAGACATTATTTTTAGACTAAAAAATATCCTTTTTACTTTTTTATATACAATTTATATAAAATAATTTCAAGAACTTGTATTATATTTTTGTTTTACAATCATAACTATATATAGTAATACTTTTCTAAATAAAAAATATTTTTCTTATGATTTTAATCATTAATATATTTGCTAAATAATGGATTGCACGTTAAATAAAATAAAACTGAATAATGATTAGCCAAATGAAGAGAAGGTTTATTTTTAGCATTTTGTATATTATAATAAGAAACCATAAAAATCCCTACTTCAATGTATGTTTCTAGTTTTTAATGTGAACTTTTATTGTTGTGAGTCACCCTGATAGTATATTATTGCGACTTAATGCAATACTCTACGTGACCATTTGTCAGGACAGAGAATGTTTACAAAATCTAGTACTGTTTTGGTCGTTTTCAATGTCATCCAGGGCGAATGGATGATTACATATAATGTCTGTACACTACAAGCATTTTGTTCATAAGTAAATAAACAATACAAATTTACAATTTAACCATAATATTTTATATTAAAATAAATTACTATATTTATACGGTATTATTATTATTTAATTATCCACAATACATAATAGCATAGTAAATGTTCTATTTTAACAATATCAATAACTTAATTATTTTTTAAGATTTACTGATTACGACGCTCATTTATTGAAAGTTATTTTAAGATTCCTAAATGAAATTAAGATTTCTCTCCCTATATAGGATGTTGTTTCCATTCATGCTAAAACATATAAATGTTATTTTAAGAATATAAGTTTCGGTTCCTGTAAAGTAAATACCTAAGATTTATAAATTTGCTCTGCACCGAATACTTTTTTGCTTAATGTTATTATTAAGTACTAAGAACTCAGTTACACAATATAGAATTTTTTAAATTTTTTTTGTTGAAAATTTGAAACAAAAATTTGACATTTTCTTTATAATTTAATAAAAAATTGTTGACATGGGTATTAAAGCGTTTATTTAAAAAAATTGTAGCTATTTCTATTTTTTTTAATTAATTCTTTTAAACATTTATGAATGTGTTTTGAATATTTATATCTTATAATTCTAAAAACAGTACTTCATGTAAAGCAAACTTATGTTAGTACACTGCTAATTCACGTCTTCTTTATAAGTATATTTTATTGGAGTTGATAGTAAATATTTTAGTACGTATTTTTTACGTAATCATGTAATCACCTTGAATGGTCTTAAAACAAAAACCTATACTCTTTTGTAGTTTAAAAAGTATCTTGTTAAGTAAAAAACTAGAAACAATATCAGTTATTAATAACTTTTCAAAATTTTAAACACAACCTATATCAATCATCGCTATAAAAATGTCGAAGAATATAAGTAAATTTTTATATTTGTTAGAAATTGTGCATTCAGATATACATTCTGTAATTATGTGTTCTCTATTAGCTTAGAAAAAAAATTATCATTTACCGAAAAAGAATGATATATTTTCAAGATAATTATCTATATTTTTTGTTGAGTTTAATATAATTATGTAATTGTGAAACACAAATTATAGAAAATTTTGTAAATTATTATTTTCTAAATTGTTAATAATTTTCAATTTAAAATCTGGATTTTCTAATTAACGGTTTTCCCCTTTTGGATCAAGAGAATATTAATATAGTTAACATTCTTAATAAATGAAAATCATTAAACGTTTGTATAATACTATTATTTATTGATATGTAAATAAATTATTACCTTATTTATATTAAGTATTATACTAATAATACTTTATTAATATTAAAAATGTATTATATCTTATATCGCATGTTATTGATGATAAGAATTGTTGACGTAGTTGTGGATTTTTCATGACTGAAACTAGAGAATATGTATAATGAGTCAATAATAATCAATTATCTATTTCACTGGTAAATATAATGGTTGGTAGGTAATAAATATTTGTCGTATAGAAATTAACTAATTTTATTACAATTATTTATTGTTTCAAATTTTAGGTACTTAAAATTTTGTTTTATTTATTTCAAACTGATATTCTGTGAAATGTTAAAATTTATTTGGCCGTCAATTATTTTAATATTTATTTTATAACTGTACTTCGACTCATATAAGTTATTAATAGTACTAGTATTACTAAAATAAAAACGTATACACAAATATTAAAAATATAACGTTATTATGAGTCACGTGGAACAGAATAAATAGACGCAAAATGATTGTCTAGATAAACATATTTATAAAAATATAGTTAAAAAATAAAAAATACATTTGAGGCCCAATAATACTCTTAATTATAATGAGTTATTCCTTCCAAATTTATTATTATTTTATGTATATTACCGTATACAGAATGTTCTATCAAAATTTAACATCTTTAATAAATTTTGATTCATTAAATCTTTACATTACTTTTAGACCTACTTTTTACAAAAGTTTTAGGCTATTTTAATAGCTAATTTATTATTATTTGCCTCTAATAATAATTTTTAAATTTTTTTCAAAATTTTAAAATAACCATTTTTTAACTCTTTCCTTAGAAAAAATTCTATAGGTCGATAACAATTTTACAATAACTAATTATTGAATTAGGAGCATTTTAATACATAGAATGAGTATGTAGCGCAGCCAGAGTATTCGTTATAAATATACACCAGTTCGAACTAGATATCCACTCTATGTATTAAAATGATTGTAACTCAATAAGTTTTTATCCTGAAGTTGTTATTAGTCCATCAAAATTTTTTTGCGAGAAAAAAACTAAAAAAAATGCTTGTTAAGATCATTACTCTTATACTGATAACTATTAAATTTAATATTTATTATTATAGAAATTGTAATTTGCTGGTTCATTTAATAATTTATTCTCTCTTCACTCATTTCTATGATATAGCATATCATAATCAATTTTATTATAATATTTAGAAAATAGTAGATAGAATTTATCTTTTTAACAAATACATTTGAGTTCGCTTCATGGATTTCAAAAGTAGTATCTGAATGACTTCATCGCCATTTGTATACCACCTTAATTCAATTGTTTAGTTAAAAACAAATAATCGTGTGATGTAAATCGTGTATGTCACTAAGTATCTGAAAAATAATTTAAACAGTTTTAATTACATAAAAGTAGAATAGCATAAATTCATTCTACTCTCATACTATACAAATATAACAGAGATACTCTTATAATTGACTAACTTATTAGTCACGAAAATAGTTCATAATTGTCTAGTGATATTATGTAGGACATATCCTTTTATTATTTGATGAATCACCGTAAAACCACATCAGTTTATACAACTAGAAAAGTAATGTAGTGTCATCTGACTGGCCAACTTATCAATCGATTTGGCCGACCACAATATTTAATAAAAAATATTTATCTATGATTTATATTTTTGAGAATTTGTCAAATAATTTGTACGTTGAAGAAATTTTAAGTAAGTTTGCTATTTCCAATCATTGGTTGCATTTATAAGTTTTAAAATAAATACATTTTATATTTTTAATTATTGGTTCATTCAATATTATAATAACAAGAAAATGAATATAGTAAAAATGGGTAGATGTGTTGATTGCATTTTTTGAGACTTATATTTTTGACAATAAAACAAATTGTTTACAAACATTATTTGAATAATGTACAAGTAAATTGTTTAACTGTTCATCAACGTACAGGATTTTATCGGTCACGGTCGTTACCGTAAATCAAGACAAAAAAATACTTTAAAATTTTTTATTGTATATGTATATATATATATATATATTTTATGAAGTATAAAAATAGAATAGTTGATAATAATAATAACAAAGTTCAGTTGATTTCTCGCTTGATAATTTATTTACATACAAGTCTCGGTTTTTTAAAACACAAATAAAATGAATACGTATTTTTCAAGCCCAATAATATAAAATACACAAATTTTTAATGAGCTTTCTAGGAATAACGAATAAAACAGTTAGCTGATATAATATTTTTACAGAAAGACGATAACATTATGTATGTTTTTACTACTAATCATTATTAACGACCGAGCTATTTGACTTCTCATTTCATGCTTATATAAGTTTATCTTAAATTATTTACTACAATATATGATGTGCTTTTTAAAATGTATCTTACTGGGTTAAACACGGAGAGAAGTAATCCTAAACGAAATATTTTAAAAAAGGTTAAGTAAATTAAAATATGTTTTTCCTTTAATTATGGTATTGATAAATTTTTTAAAGAAATCTAAAAAAATTATTTCCATTATTTAATAATTATTACTAAGTTGCAAAAAATTAAAATTTTAAAGGTATTTTTATTGTTAAAATATGGAAAATACTTCAATCTGTTATCTAAATAATAAAAGCAAATGAACTGTTTATTAATGTATTTACTTTTTGACCGATTTTGTGTTTATTAATGAATTAATGAATTATTTTCTCTGATGAATTATTATTTATATTTAACCATGTATCAAAAATTATATTAAATCTTTTTTGATGCTTTCAAGGTCGCTTGAGCGTTAACCTGAACTTGAAATACATAATTAATAAGAAAAATAATTAATGCAGTTTTTACTCATAAAATATCTTACATACTACTGATTACTCGTCTGCATAGATTTTTAAAAACAAAGTTTAATTAATATTTTACTTAAACCATTGGATTTTGTTTTTGTATGACACATGGAATTTCAAATCCCAAATGAAATATGAAATAACATTTTACACAATAATTTTTTATGTAAAAATCATATTATGATACGTATCACTTGTGTATAAAGCTTACATTAAATAGGTTTTTAGTTTGGAAGTAGAAAGTTTAAGATGATAA